GAGAAAATAATTTTTTTTTTTCAAAGATGTAGTAAAAAATAGCTTCCTAGTGCAAAAAAAAATTGAAAGCACAAAGAAAATAGTAGTTATACAAAACTATGATAGCGATCTGAAAAGTAAAGCATTAAAAAATTTGTTCCAAACAAATATTTATACTAATTAAAAGCATGTAGCTTAGTTCCCAAACTGAGCATACCCATACCAATGAGCATGAGCCATTTACTTAATAGCACAAAAATTTCAATCACAATTCAAATATTTGATTTGGCCTCATTAAAACTATGATCAAATCATTTTTTATATTGTTGAGTTTGTCTAATTGAAATGTTCAATTCGACTATATATTCATTGAAATCGGAGATCGCATAATCATGAATTTTATTTTGGAGCTTTCAATTCACAAATGTTGCATTGAAATTTGTTCTTGATCATATAATATTTTTAGCGATGTATCAACAACAATTTTTATATTTCTTTTATTTTTTTTAATGTGAATGCATTTCCCACACAATTTTATTGATGCATGCACTTTCCAATAAAATTAATCCAAAAATATTTTCCAACATTTTTTTTATTTTTTAATGATTTTATCAGCCCAAAAAAGTAACGCACTTTTCTACCGTGGGACCTACATATTTGTAATGAAGATAAAATATTTTTCTTAATTATCTCCAATGAATATTAAAACCTTTTTCCTTGCAAAAATAATCAAAACTTAACCCTTTAACCTTTAAATCAATTCCCTTACATTTAATTATTTCAAATACTTCAACTCTTTTGAAAAAATAAAAAACCCTAATTTTCATGACCCCCACAAGTTCAACTAAAGCCAACTATCAGAAGCCAACAATGTCACAGTCTTGCTAGCTAGCTATCCTTGTCCTTTATTTTCTGTCTCTATTGCTGTAGTTGTTGTCAACTTTACTCCAAAAAATAATCCAAAATCATGCATGGAAAGAAAATTATATATAAATATATAATAACTTCCAATTCTTTGAACTTTCTAATTTTCTCCATAGATAAAAACAAGCATAAAGTGCGCATCCAAATAATAATATACAGATATATTTAACGTATACTTACCTAAAGCCGTTTCAAAGGAGAAGCTGCTTCCCTGTAACGCAGCATCGATCGCTTTCAGACTCTTCGTAAGATCCAACTGCTTGCTGGTAAAGCTAAGAATATATATTTTTTTTCAAATAAGAAATCAAAGCTGATATGGCTATGTAGTAATACAAATCTGATGTCGTAGTTGACTTGGCTGTGTGAGAAGGTAGTCAAATATCTTCATTAGGGAGTTGTTTAATGTAATGATTAGTGGCCAATGACATGGAACTCTTAGCTTTTAGTGTATTAAGCAGATAAAGAAGGAATGTAAGCATTGTTTTGTGTTGTTGTTGTTGTTTTTTAATAGGAAAGAAGTTTCTAAACTGCTGCAATAGGTTTTAAAAAGTGCTGCGAAAGCCTGAATTTTTAGTAAGTCAGCATGAAATATAATACTCTTAACCTCATATAGGGGCGGACCCAACCTTAATTTTTAGGGGGGAGGGAGATGTGTAAACTTTAAAATAACTACTGGTGTTTCCTCGCATTTGTCTTGACCCTTGTTTATTTATGTTATTGACCATCGTGCGCTTCACAAATATGTTGGGGTCCAATGACGCAACGCCTCTAACGGGGTTCAGCGGCCTGTAAGAGCATTTTTTGAATTCATCTTCTGTTTTGTAGATTGTGATTTATTATTTTTACGTATTTGGTTAATTATTCCCTAACAATATCTCATCTACACAATATGTTTAATTTTTGCTAGGGGCAATTGTCTTAAGACCATAATATTTTAAAATTTTTAAAGGGGTCAATTGCCCTCTTAAGACCATAATATTTTAAAAGGGGGACCGGCTCCTGGCCCCATGCATAATATGCAGGGGTAGAACTAATATCTTTTTTGAGGTTGAATAAAATAGAGTTGTAAAATATATAATTTTACATAGGAAATAGAAAAAAATGCTTCTTTTATGAAAAATTGAGCAACAACAACAACAACTACTGAAGGTGAACAAAATTGTTAAAATATTTATTCTTCTAAGAAAAATAGAATTTTAGAATGGTCAATTACGCGCCCTCAACATTTCTTAGTTCCACCCCTCATAATATGTAATCACCCACGAATAGTTTTACTGTTGCCACGTGGCATGACAAGTTATAGAATGCCACATGGCATGAGGTGGGAGGAGCAAATAATGCTTGGATTGTATTAATCACTTGATCATAAAATTATTTGAGGAAGTTTTTGGTTTCTTAGTGGGAATAATGTCAATTAATGACTTAATTAATTTTATGTTATTGGTTTCAACAAAGGGAACCGCAGGAGGAGGCTTTGACTGGATAAAAAGGTCTGTGAGCTCATTGAATGGCATTTTTTTTTTAAATAGTTTTGAGGAATGTGATATTATTTAAAATAATTAGAAGCTTTCTTTAGGCAATTATGTTAATGCTCCACCATTGACTTTTGATGTGTAGTATTATGAAAGAAATTATGGGTTATTTGTATAAAATTCTCCTATTTGGAATTTTTTTAAGGAAAAAGTTAATAATTTAAAATTTTGCAAAGAATAATAATAATTTTATTTAATTTGTAAATAATAATTAACAATTTGGCATTAAGCCAATTTATTTAAATATCTTGATAGTAAAATTATGATTTAAGATTTCACATTTAATAAAATATTAAATTATAATATGATCGAAGGCGTTGAATGCAATCCTACCGTAAGGCCAAGTTTTTTTTCCCTCTTTTTAAAGTAGAATAAAATTTATTTTATTATTTCAAAAGTTTCAAACTATTATTCTTTTTTAGGAAAAATTAGAATATAAATAAATGTTTATAAATTTATTATATAGTGAAATATAGTTATATTTCACTCATGTATAAATCAACTTAAAAATTTAAGAAATCATAAAATGATGTAAATAGAAATGCTATTAAAAATTTTATGAGCATATTTTCAATAGAAGTTAATATTTTTTTTAATTTATGTATTTTAAATATTTTTATTTTTAATTACTTTATATGCATTGCACTCTGTTTCCTTCTTATAATAACAAAATATTTTAATTAAAAAAAAAAAGAAATTAGGCGTAAAAGAAGAACAATTATTAGGTCCGGTGACCGGACGTACCTCTACGTTCGGTCACCATTGAGATTGCGCCACGTGCTCTTACTCTTTACCGCGCGGCCTGACGACTTGACCCGTACCGGAACCCAGGAATGCTATGTTCGCGTATTGCTAGGTATTACTCGGTATTGCTTGGCAATAATGAGAAATACCGCTCTGTGAAGACCAATACCGAGCAATACTGAGTAATACCAAGTTTTTCTAGAAAAACTCAGTATTGCTCGGTATTGCTTAGTATTGCTCGGTATTTGTCTTCACATAATGGTATTTCTTGTTATTGCTTAGCAAAATCGACAAATACCTAGCAATACCGGGTTGTCATAAATTTAAAAAACGCACGTGCGACATACCCACTATTCACCGGGTTGGGTCCGCGGTTTTGTGCCTGCTACGTGGCGCGATCTCAATGCCATGCGACATACCCATTATTCGCCGGGTCGGGTCCGCGGTTTTGTGCCTGCTACGTGGCGCGATCTCAATGCCGATCGAACGTAGCTCTACGTCCATTCGCCGGACCAAATTAAAGTTCGTAAAAGAAATGGTTATATGATTCGCTATTCATACTTTCTAGTTTATAGTCTTCAAATTGCTGCTATTAAGAATTCGTGGTTTGCTGAAATTACACTTTTGCCCTTCTGTTGCTTTGATAACAAAGAGGGCGCTGGAGAATTAATGGTTATTTAATATTTAGGTTAAATCAACAGCTGTAAGGGATAATATTGTTAAATTTGAATAGTTTTTATTAACTTTGTGCGACTGCTACTTTAAAAGATTATTTATCCATTTCTTATCCACAATTCAAAAATATTGTACTTTAATTAATATATACTGAAAAAGTAATAATTAACAATGTAATGTTATCATCAAGTAAAAAAGTTGTAGTTTTTAGCTGTGTCATTAAAATATTTAAAAATTGGTTAAATGCAACTGTACATTGTTGTACAAAAGAATTTATGTAAATAATTATGTTAATAATGTTAAGGATATGATTAATATGTATTGTGTCTATATAGAGAGAAATTATTTTGTGTGGAGTTCGGATAGAAAGAACCGTCTAGACATGTGAGCGTACACATTTTGTATAAATTTGTTCAGTGTGTGTCAACTTTTTGTACACAGTGTATACACTCATAGTCTGGACGGTTCTTCCCGTACGGACTCCACACATAATAATTTCATTAATATGTTTGCTCGCGATAATTGTGACCTATCAGGATAAACGATGACTTCATCTTTGATGCACTATTAAGAATTTTGAATTGGTTATTTACAAAGGTCGGATCTATGCCGAGGTATTGAGAGTGATTCTCAAATCTTGTAGAATAGAATGCAATAGAAACAAAAACAGGGAACGAGTTACTTATTCCTAACGGTTAATGCGAACCTCCAATTCTTCATTAAAAAATGAATAATGAATCAAGTCTCCCAGAATAGGATTCGAACTTACGACCAGTTAGTTAACAACAACCCCGCTCTACCACTGAGGTACTGAGGAACAACGGGAGATTCGACCTCATAGAGTTCAACTCCCGTTCTCAACCCATGAACAATATGAGTCCGAAGCTTCCTTCGTAACTCCAGGAACTTCTTCGTAGTGGCTCCGTTCCATGCCTCATTTCATAGGGAACCTCAATGTGGCTCTATTTCATTATATTCCATTTATATCCCAGTTCTATTTATTTCATATCCTTTTTGTATTATTGACATAAGATATGTCATTTATTGTATATCTGTTTAACTATTTTCATCTATATAGATATGGAAAGTTAAGAAATCATCATATGATAATAGAGAAACTGCAATAGAAAAGAAAAAGGAGAAGTTTGTGATGATTTTAAATCTTTTCTACTAGGTAATTATCCTTATGCATGAAGATAATAAATTCGGTCGTTGTGGTCGGGCTCTATTATGGATTTCTGACCACATTCTCCATAGGGCCCTCTTATCTCTTCCTTCTCCGAGCTCGGGTTATGGAAGAAGGAACCGAGAAGGAGGTATCAGCAACAACTGGTTTTATTGCGGGACAGCTCATGATGTTCATATCAATCTATTATGCGCCTCTGCATCTAACATTGGGTAGACCTCATACAATAACTGTCCTCGTTCTACCGCATCTTTAGGAACAATCATACAAACTTTTTTTATTATGAAACTACTACAATAAATTCAATGCGTAATCTCATCATTCAATGTGTATTCCCGAGTAATCTATTTTTTCAATTATTCAACCATTTCCTTTTACCAAGTTCCACGTTAGCCAGATTAGTCAACATTTCTATGTTTCGATGCAACAACAAGATTTTATTTTTAGCGGAGCAAGTACAAGTATTAGTAGCATAACAAAAATGCGTTCCTCATCATTAATATGTTTCCTCGTGGTAATTGTCGCCTATCGGGAGACGATGACAACATCTTTGATGCACCGTTGAGAATTCTAAATTGTCTATTTACAAAGGTCGGATCTATAAAATCTTTAGATGTGTTATGATCATAAAAGTTTGATTAGCAACAACAATATCAAACCATTATTCCACTCAGTGGCGGAGCTAGAAAATGTATTTAGTGGGGGCCTTATAGATTTTTTTTTTAATTTTCCTTCAACCTTTTACATTCAGACTTGAGACCAAAACAGTCAATTTTTAAAATGATAAAAGTTTGATAGTGAATTAGTTTATTTTTTTCCTTCACAAAATGACTTACAATCATCACACTTGATTACTGCTAGAACGAGTTCAATATATTAACTAAATACGTGATATTAAAAATCTCATCGCACAAAAATAAATCATAAAATCTCTTTAAGATCGAATTAATACAGGATTAAGCTAATATCAACCAAGAAAAAAAATGTAAACAAATAGGAAATTAAATTGGTAGTGATTTGAATGGACGGTCGTTCTTAAATCTCTTGATCGTGGACCGTTTATTGGACATTTAAATGTCTTAAAGATATCAGAACTCCACGATCTTAGGCTCGTTGGATTCATCTCGTCTAGCCGCTCAATTTGACTATAAGCATGTCTGTTTGGAAACCATTTGGTAATCCAAATTATGGTTAAAACCTTCCAAATATGCTTTGAGTCTTTGATTTGGAGTCATTTGAGTTCGGATTGAGTTGAATTTGGTGCCGTTGGATTCGCATTTTTGAGACGTTTAGTTCGATTGTAAGTTTACTGAAATTGGAGCTCATATGGTCTCCGATTTAATTTTTTTTTTTTTTCATTTTTTTATTGGGGGGAGGCCCACCCCCCCCTGATTCTACTACTTTGGATCAGCTACCAAAATCTTTTTTTTCTATTGTGTCATGTTAAAGAGTCGGATTGTCATTTAAATCTAATTAAAAAAATATCATTTCTAATATTTTCTAATCAAATATTTTTTGTCTAGTTCGACCTTAACATAGATTAAATCTAAAATATCTACTCTCCTAATTGTGTTATCGAAAGACCGATACTTTATGTGACCAGAACATCTAGATGACTCTCTATAATTTTCTCTACTATTGGAGTGATTATCAAAATTTTATCAATTACACAAAATTTTTAGCACAGTATGTGTATATCCGAACACTGAAAGGAGCTCAATTGAGATTTAATTATACATTGAAATTAATTTAAAAGATCAAAAAGCTTCAAACAATGCAAGTTTATATTCATAGCAGTTGCCTCTTTGCAATGATTCGATGACCCTCTAAACTAGAGAATGATAAGGGTCTAAACTAATTATCCTCATTTTCTTGCCTTAAGCTTTCCTGAGAAGGGAGTGACACTAGGGGTGTCACCGAGTCAACTTGACTCGTGAGTCGGCTCGGGCTCGACTCGCGTGCTTGAGCAGGATTTCGAGCTCATTGGTCTCTCAAGTTCGAACAGCTATCTGCTCGACTCGATTACTCTTCGAGCCACTTGTGTAAAGCAGAACGACTGGGGGATGACAGAAGCAGAACTAAACGGCAGATGCCAATGCGGATTGGCTTGCGAAACGGCAGATGCGGACCCAAATTGGCTAACGAAACAGTGGACACAGAACTGCAGACGTGGACTTGGATTGGCTCCTGGAACGGTGGACGTGGAATGGAGGACGTGAAGTTAACAATGGACGAGAAATTGAGCAGCTTGACAAGCTCGTTTTGGTGGCGAGTTACACTCAAGCTCTAGTTTTGAGTTCGACTCGAGTTCGAGCTCGATATTTGGCTCACGTGTCAAGTTAAAGGTAGGTCTGACTTGAGCTCGACCTGACTCTTTTACACCCCTAAGTGATGCTACTAAATTTTTTGATGAAGATATCTCTCATAAAATTTTTTTTATTTGTTCACCTTCACTAGCAATTAGGGGTGTCAAAATCGGATCATGGGTCAGGTTCTGGTCGAACCAACGGGTAAACCAAAACCAGATTCTTTTTTACAAACGGGTCAAGGTTTTCAACCCGGACCTGACCTGGACGAGTTATCGGGTTGATTCGACCTGACCCGAAGACCCGATAATAATAATGGCAGTTACAACAACTCTGCAACGCCGCAAGCGGCATGACATCAAGGCAGTGGCAGTGTGACAGGGAGTATCAGACATGGGCAGATGCGAGTGCACGTCAGAGACAGCGCTATAGTGGCAGTGGCGGGGTAGCGACAGCAACGGGAGATGCGATGGCGACGTGACCTTGACTCACGCGAAGTTATGGCGACGTGAACTTGACTCGCGCAAAGAGACACGACGGGCAACGCGATCACTCGACGCAGGCAGGGTGGGCAGCAGAAGCTGGAAAACACATTTCCAGGTCATTTCTGTGTCATTTTTGGGTTTCCAGATTTCTGAGTTTCCGGGTCAACCCGAATCTGACCCATTTTTTAAAACTTGTCAAATCCGGGAACCCGAACCTAACCCGTTTTGAAATCCGTTCGGGTTTAGCCCAAAATTTTCTTGTCGTCAGATTTTTGTGTCATGTCAAATATTGACACACTTCTAACAATATATATAAATTCAACAGCCACAAGTCAAACAAGTGGGAAATTTTTTAATGCATCAATAATGTGGATATTATTGAAAAAAAAAAAGCTAAAGTAAATTATTCACTGTTAAGTATGTAAATATTTTTATCATAAATTTTTTTTGTTCTCATGATAGTTATCAAAAAATTTTAAAATATTTTATATATTATATATTTGTTTATATAGATATAACATTTCACCCAAAAAAATCAATCAATATCCACTATAAAATTCTGAATTTTAAATAATAAATAGAATTATCTTCTATTTTTTTTAATATTTTGATTTATTAAGTCAAATTTAAACACATCATTTATGTAAGTGCATCTCCAACCTAAAAACCGACTTTCCATTCCAAAATATAGTAAACCTCCAAAATGTTGTAATTCGTCTCCAATTGAAATTCATTTCGCCTGCTTCTTCATCACGTTGCTAAAGGTAATTGTCTTTCTCCTTTTTCAGGCCATTTTTCGGCAAATCCCAAACACATAAAAATAGCGTGTGTGAACAGTACGACGCTAATATTGGCATTGTATTGTTCACTCCCAGTGAACAACAGACGAAAGCGCATTCGGTTGAATCGTTTGGCGGACGGCAATTACATGTATTCTGTTCGATGGAAAATGATCTAAGGCTCGAGTCCAAAATCTTTTAGTTGATGATCAAAACTCTCAAACACTGACTAAATAGAGCTGCGTTATTATCCTCTTTTCTTTAAGAAAAGAAGGCATTGACCTGCTCTTCCACATTAGATATGAAATCGAAGGGAAAATCCAATGGCGGAGAGATTAAGGAGGTCAGGTTTGGAGGTTACTGCAGAATCCGTTTTATGTCGTTATATCTGAATTTTTTTTAAAGAAGAAAAAGTCTGTCACGCCTGTTTTGGCGTCAAATATGCTTTGTTCAAATGTAAATGGCAGCTGTAATTTGGGAACATATTGAAGGGGTGGGGTCCATTCTAATGTTCATCATATTATCTAATAAAAATGTATTTAAATAGTAATTTTATGATTAACGATAATCATGTTTTTTTAATTTTTTTATTTTTCTTTTGGCCGTCAAGATTTTTTTTTTTAACAAAAAACATATAATTTATTCCAACTCAAAAAGGATTACAACAAGCTAAAATGCGGAAAGAAAAAAGCTACAAAGAAACACAAGGGTAACTTCCAACTACACCTAAGCCAAGCACGGGCCATCCAGTATGAAGTGAGAGCAGTAATGCACCAAGCAGTCTTCCCAAATGAGCAAGAAATGCACCACCAAAAGTTGCCATGAGCCACGGCTTAAGAGAAGTGAGCCCTAGCCACATCATTGCCCTCAATCTATAAATCGCATCCGCAAATATTAGTCTAAGTTTCAGCAAAATGGCAGCCACTTAAAAGAAGTGCCTTCCAACAATATCATCCCACAGCCGAAAGGATAGAGAACGACGAACAACTAGAAACCCGCCATCACTATAGCACCAACAGGCATGAAGAAGTGCCAAAGGCAAACAAAAAACAACACTCTTACACATAAAGAGAGCCCCCACAACAACAAAAAACCCAGCATTATTTCCTGCCACGCCTACCCCTCCCACTAGAGGTAACAGACACAACAGGTCGGTCATTCCGCATTACAAAATCTTCCCCATGTTCTTTCTCCCCACTAGCCTTCGAAGAGGGATGAGCCTTGAAGCCAATCAATTTGCATTCTCACATCCTCCCCCACATGAGCAAACAAAGCTTCAGGAGAAATTAAGTTAACATGAACCTCAACAAAATGGCCAGGTATAAGAATAATAGGCATCACAGGGGAAGGAACATTAAAGACACCCACACGAGCAGAGAAATAACCAGCCAAAGCATTAGAATTAAGGTGAGAGAAAGAATGTACAGAGCCCGAAGAGTCCTCCGACTCAACTCGATTTAACTCACACGTAGCAAAATTCACACCCTTCGAAGAGGCCACTACTAAAGGGGCAGAACCAACCGTAAAGGGGCAAATAGTATCCAAATTGTTAGAGTTGAAAGCAACCGCACCACTCATCAGACTATCTAAAGTGGTCGGCATTACCTCACCAAAGACAGGGGGACGAAGGGGAGGTAATTCAACTAAATGTTTCCCAATATCAACAGCAACCACATCACAATTCCCAACCATACTGGCAACAGGATTACAATCAAGGTTAGCTACAGAATTATCCTTACTATAAGTATTCTGTTCTGGCACTAAAATCAAATCGCTACTAGCAGGAGCATGATTACAAAGACCACACCAGGATGAGGTACAACAACACCCCCCCCCCCCCCCCCCCCCCCCCCCCCCCCCCCCCCCCCCCCCCCTGATCAGAAACGAAAATAGAGGAAGATGGCTTAAGGAGAATCGTAAGAGGGACACTAATTTTGGACTTGCATTCCGCCCCTAGCATGGCTAATAGACTGACAAAGAACAAAATGGGGGGAAAACCTTCATCTCAACCTTTTGTATGTACGTAGCCAAGATTATTAGGGCCAATCCAGACATTCTCCGGAAAGTTTTTCATTATATCAATCTCAACCAATACTCTCGCAATAGACAGTCTAGACCCCAACGAAGTGGCATAATCAACCTTGAGCGGGTGACCAAAGATAGAGCCTAAGGCTTGAAGAATTCTCGGGTTAAAGAGATGAGGGCGAAGACCAGGGAAAGATATCCAAATATGAATAATTGGGCATTCAACAGAGATATCCAAAGGAGTCCATTTCATTAATTTCATATAACAATTGTAAACCAGATACAAGCAATGACTGAAAACCCGACTGTAATCAAGGTCATTCGAGAGCTTCACCAAAATGTGTGAAGAATCAAGCACAATGACAGAAAAGGCTGCTATAAGTTTCAAATTGGAAAAAAAAATCCCCTTATGGAGTCTAAACTAGGGCACCTGGCGAAAAAATCCAACAAGCGAAAATTGAAAGGGAGCCGACATAGCCCTAATTTCATCCTCAGATATCCACTGTGAAGGCGTACCACAGTAAGACTAAGGCTTAAGCTCCGAGAAACATACAATAGACAGCGAACTAGCTAATGCATCGGCAAAAGAAAGAGAAAAATTGGAATCATATAAAAAACCAGGGTCCAACAGGCGCCGAACGGCCAGGAAACACCAAAAAAACTCAAAAATGTGAAAGAACAATAGAGACATGAAAAACAGAAAACTTCCCTGACCACCGAGGGAACGCCTCCCAACAAACCCTATAACAACGGGAGAGACGCCTAGATGCGAACCTTAAGTAAATATTTTATAAATGTATAAAAAAAATGGCCGTCAAGATTGAGAAATAAAAATAGAAAAAAAAATACTCTGTCGATGTTGTATTTATATTAATATTATTTAGATTTATTTCATGTGGGAGATTGAAAAAAAGAAAAAATATTATGATTAGGAAGAATGAAGCAAAGTAAAATTTAGATATACTTAAGATTTTTTTTTTTACTTATAAAAAATTGATTCAAAATTCTTTTTTAAATATCACATTTTATTTAAAATAACAATTGATAAATACTCAATTTTAAAATTTTTGAACAATGATTTATTGCAACAATTACATAACTATATATATATATATA